TTTTTTTTCTGCCGAGGAAAGTTTTGCTCAGGAATAGGGGACTTGTCTGACTAGTGAAACCGAATAGATTCCAATTGAACCAAACTTCTTTGAATCTTGGGACCAACTATTAGATTCCTTTCAAGTTGTTTAGTGATATTGATGTTCATGTCCTGCAGAACACAGTTTGAGAAACACTGCTATGAAACGTAAGGCAACCTTCCCATTTCTCATCCTCCCTTCTGTGTGCTACTCCATGCATACATTTAATTGATTTACTGAATCAAACAGAGTGTTTTATAAAGAGGGACACTGAGCTTCTAGAATAGGATTTCCTGTGCAGAACAAAGGCAATTCGGCAAGGAAATCCATAGGAAACTTTTTTACAGTCTGCACAGAGTGGGGGGTGAAGAGAAAATGTTTTTTTAAAGAATTATGCAAAAGAACGAGGAAGCTTCTGGTTGAATTTTTGGATTCCAGGAGGAATTATTGTATTTTGGATTAATTACAGCTTGCTGTGTTTGCTCCTACTTTGCAATAATGCTTGTTAAGTTCCCTAAGTATAATTAACAGAAATCTCTTCTCAATTACCCTATATCCAAATAAAACTGATATTGTAATGTTCTTCAGGAACTCCAAGCCAAATTACATGGGATGGTGAGTCATGTCACACTTTACTACCACTGTTCTTATTGTTTCAACAAAATGCAGTTCCAGAGGCAGAAAATCTGAAGCAAAATATTTTTATATCATCATTCTTAAAAAAAACCCAAAACATAGCTGGATATTGTTCTGTTTTTAAATAGAGGAATGAACAATTTAACAACAAAAGCTCTGCCTACATTTTCCATTCAGGGCATTTAAATTGTATTAGGGGTAACTCTGCAGCAAAACCGGGTATTACTTATGAGTGGAGAGAAAATGGGACATAAAGCACACTTATTCACATATAGAATCACTGTCCCAAATAAAGCTCATTACAGATAGTCCACATATTACAATCATTTGTTAACCACTGGTTGTAGTTTTAATATTGCTGAACAAAGGGACTAATGTCTGATCCTTGAAGTTGCAGCCATTGCAGTGCCACAATGCCTTTGCCCACACTACATCCTCCTTCCCAGGGGTGGGATTCTACAGGTTTGCACCTATTCGCTAGAACCGGTTGTTAACATTCTTAGCAGTTCGGGAAACCAATTGTTAGAAGAAATTACTGGCCTAATCCTGTAAGGAAGGCAGGAAGGAAACATTCCGGTGTTGCTTACAGAAACTGCCTCTCCATTAACCCTTACTACATTCTTGGCAGGACTAGACTTCCTGTCTCTGGAACTTCTCTCAAGTTTTTTTTCCCCTTCCTTTGCTGGTACTTTGCTTGTGTGGAGTGACCATTCAGAGTTACAATGGTACTGAAAAAAGTGACTTATGACCATTTTTCACACTTACAACTGTTGCAGCATCCCCACAGTTATGAGAGGCCAGGCGAGGAGGTGCGTGCCTCAATGTGAGTGATATTAAGTTGGCCACTCCCAACCAATAACATGACCACCAAGCCACGCCCACCAACTAAGCCACGCCCACAGAACCGGTTGTTAAAAAATTTGAATCCCACCCCTGCTCCTTCCCTCTTCATTCACTTGTACTCCCCACCCTTTTACCCTGACTTCCCAGTACTCACGCATATGCACACACACACCAATGCCCTCCTTCAAAGAGATTTATGTGCACTCCATGTCTTCCTTCCCTGGCCTTCCTAAGCTCACTCCACACCACAGCACCCCTCTCCCCCAACCCACATGCAGCCTGCACCAGACCTCTGCAATGGCCTCAGAGCCAGGCTCCAACAGACAGGTGGCTCAGGTCCCACCAGGTCCTGCCCCTGGCGATTTAACAGGGACTAAATCCAGTACTAATATCCCTCAGTCCCTTCTTCAGATGGTACTAATCGTTTTTTGGCCAACATCGGTGCCAAGAAGCAAGACAAACTTGCTAGGCTGGGAACCCTGCACCCTGACAAAGTGCCATGCAAACAAACACAAGATGCTGCCTTCAAGCAAGCCCAGATCCTCATTTTTGGAAACCACTGGGCAACAAAGACTCCCCTCTGCATGTTAAACAGTGAGAGGATGTAAACTGTACAGAGTCTGCTTCCCACACAAGAAGCAACTTTGACATCTGGCTTTGTGAATTCCTGTTCTTGACTTCTGCTTCACGTTGATATTGAAGCGTTTCTGACCAAGTCTCTAGCTCATCCTTTGGTACTTTCAAACTCTTGTGAGGCACTGGATTACAGAATGTGTACTTGGATTATTCCTTCTCCTTAGCCGATAGTAAGTTGTTGTGGACAAGTGCATGCTTTCTCTTGCTTCCACAACTCCACTTCATTTGCCTCCCCTCTGTCATCATTTCTCCCGACAAGCCATCCTGATGTCCTTATACATCTCATTGCAAACTTATTGCTCCCACAAATGCTCCCCTCTGTCATACCCAGGACCACTGAAAGCTTTATCTCCAAGCGCCTCTATCATGCCTACAATTTGGTTGCCAATTGCATGAATGTCTTTCCCATTTGCTAAAGCCAGGACACAAAATCACCCCGCTCCTTACCTGGAATTCCCTCACTTCCTGCTTAATAACCCACATGTCTTGGGTTAAAAGAGCAATCAGAATTGCCATTGCTAACCAATGTCATCACCTGACATCATACTTTATGACCTCATTGCTTTGCAATGATAATCCCAGTCCCATTTGCAGTCATAAGGACTATCTGTAGAGAATGACAATGGAGTTGCTTTACCTCCCACAACAAAATTGGTACCCAGGACCATTTTGATTATAGTAGAGTGTTACCTAATCAACATTTGGATATTATTAGCATCATTTCAATTGATTTGATTTATACTGACATGAAGACCTACTTAATGGCAAGCAAAATTTAGTTTAGTATACTTTCATATTTGTCCTTTAATAAATGGTCTTAATTTCAAAGATATGCAAAACTTCAAAATATTGCAAAAATCTAGTGGTATTATTACCATAAGATTATCAATATAATCAGAGATGAACAAATACAGCTTACAGGTTGTTTGTGTCCCCTAATGATGTAACACAGGCATCCAGGCTCTCTCCTAAGTTGTCACCAAAATTCTTAGCATAGTCACTGCCAAAATCAACAAACTATCTCTTTAAAACTATCTCAGTTTCAATTGTGTATTGAATCACATTTTTGCTGCTCTGACTAGTTTTTACATTCCTCTGTCCAGTTTTCTCATGTGGTCATCATCAGATTTTTAATATGTACTTAAGCACACCCTTCTAAGATCAAGTACAAAAGTAACCCATCTTAAAGTTGGCATGCTTGATCTGTGGGCAAGTAAACTATATTTATTACTAAGCAAATTCTGGAATCTATTTTTATGGTTTCTAAAGTCATCAGAAATTCTATCATTAAGATAGAATATGGGGCTTCCCATATTCAAGCAACATTTTTTTTTAACCAGTGTATATCAAGACAATTGTAGGAACAAAAATCACCTAATGATACAGCTCTGAAATTTCACCTCTATCCCCTTTAGTGATATCACTGGTCATCATTTTATATATTACATTTTGCACGTATACTTTGTATTTCTTTATTGTTATTTTTTTCTTTTTAAATTATTTATTTTTTATGCTGTCTTCTGCCAAAAGTTGGGTGGTCTTATAAATCTTAAAAATAAATACCGTATTTTGCAAACTATAAGACACACTCCCCCCCCCCCAAAAAAAAAGTGGGTGGAAATGTCTGTGCATCATATAGAGTGAATACGGGCCTGTTTTTGGGTTCCCAAACTCTCCATACGTCCTGTTTTTGCCCTCCCTGGTATCCAGAAGCACTCTCCAGGCCAAAAATGGGTCTGTTTTGGCTTCCGGAGACCTCTGCGGGTCCCGTTTTTGCCTTCCCTGGAGTTGGGGAGGCCAAAAACAAGTCCGTTTTTGGCCTGCAGAGTGCTTCTGAATGTCAGGGAGGGCAAAAACGGGACCCATGGAGGCTTCCGAGGCTAAAAATGAGACCATTTTTGGCCTTCAGAGTACTTCTGGACATCAGGGAGGGTAAAAATGGGACGCACAGAGGCAAAAAACTATTTTCCCCCCTTGTTTTCCTCCTCTAAACCTAGGTGCATCTTATGGTCTGGTGCATCTTATAGTCTGAAAAATACAGTAAATACCATATTGATCCATCAACTGCTGTCCTTGCTTCCATAAAATAACAGCCCCAGCTGCCAAATAGTTTGCTCTGATTACTAATTTAAGGAGAGTCAATAAATCCGACTAAAAAGGATTGACAGGTCTACATTCTTCAAGGGCTTCAATTTGATTGACAATACTTAATGAAAAGTAAAGGAGAAGAAAGATGATCATGGAGGATGAATGTCAACAAATTAGTTAGGATAATCGGAGAAATAAATTCAAGTCTTCCAAGACAGAACCACCTGAACATTCTGGTAGGATGTTCCTGGGCTAGTCAGGAAGAATAAATAAATTCATTAACATAATCATCCTGAGATGAAATCACAAATTTTAATTCTGGGATTAAAATACATAGTTATTTGAATCTCTTCTACAGATATGGTCAGAATTAGGCCATGAATATATTATTAATATACTCTAACTCATTTATTTTTCTTGGATTATCATTACTTTTTCTCAAACTGACTTGATTGAATGAATTTTCAAAAGAAATTTAAACAGCTTTAATCTTAGATATTGCCATGTCAAATATTTTCCTTATTCAAAATCCTCATTTAAATTTAGTAACCATGCAGAAAGGTGAAACAAGAGACAGAGAGAGAGGGGACCCCTTACTTCAAAGTAGACAAATCTTTACTTCATCCAAAATTCTGATCCACACCAATTAATTAATTTTCAGATATTTCTTCCAAAACCTTATAAGCTATGAAAATGATGAAAATGAGAAGGGTTAAAAGGATATCAAAACACATTAAATATTTTTATTGAAACAATCAGGTCCAGGAAATTCATACCTTAAAGACAAGCGTTTGGTTTTCTTGTCTGTAACCACTGGCTCCAATTTTTGATGCGGCAATAATACTGGTTTCCTCTCAGGCAGACGAGACAAAGGGATATTAGGACCAATGGGTGGCAGGAAGTGATGACACATGGCAGTAGTGACTCTCCAACCAATACATTGGGATGACAAGAGATAGGTAGAATTTGATGAAAAGCAAGTGTTTATTTGACCTTTGGCTTCAACCTAGAGGGGGGAAAACATACTATTTATTGCCTGAAACAATAAAATGACTGGGCAAATTGAGCTATATCTAATACCAAAGGAGATATGATTTTTTTTTAATGTCTTTGAGTTGCTGTTGAATCCTGGCAACTGCATGCCTTGGTAAGATTTCAAGAGTAGCTTACCAATGCCTTCTTCCTAAGGCTGAGAGTGAGTAGTGGCCTAAGGTCAACCAGATGCCTTGTGTCTACAGCAGGACCAGACCTCATGATCTCACAATTTCTACCTGATGCCTTCACTACTATATCAAACTGGCTCTCCCAAAGGAGACATAATTTTAATTTACTAACGATGCTCTATTCAGGAAGGATGCAAAAGATGTCATGTAAAAGGTGATAAGTGTAAGATTGTTTCTCATTTCTGTTCTTTGAAGTCCAAGCAGATTTAGTTTAATTTGAAATGCTAATGTTGATATCATTTATAAACATATAGAAATATTAAAAGGTTTCCCCAAAATATTTTCAAAATGATCTATTTTGACATATTTTGTCAATGTTGTAATTTATAACCGTGTTGCTTGTATCTTTACAATTTATATTGTTTTATTTATTTCCTAGTATGATTTGATTGCTTACTAGTAACCTATGACTATCACTAAGTGTTGTACCTTATGATTCTTAATGAATATATATTTTTTTTATGTACACTGAGAGCATATGCACCAGAGACAAATTCGTTGTGTGTCCAATCTCACTTGGCCAATAAAGAATTCTATTCTATTCTATATTTCTCATCCTATGTGTTGCTGGCAGCACATATTTTAATATTTGGCTATGCTTCTATGTTTATCCACATATTTGATTTATTCTTTTTGTTTTTGCTCTGATTAGTACGAAAGTAGTTAACAAAACAAAAATATATAGAATATAAAAGGTTAACAATGTATTAAAATTAACATCAAAATAGCCACTAAAATAGTTTAAAGATTAACATGGTGGCAAATTTTTTATTTGCTGAGTGGTCAGTTCGTCCTCCATTACACTCTGTATTGGGATTCATTTCAATCTGCCATAGATTTTTCCTATGGAATTTGCACTTTGCTCATGTTTGGGAAGTGCAGGAGAAGGAAATTCATGTGTTACCTGGGAACTAGGGAGGGGAATTTGTCTTCAGAGATGGAGCAAACTCCCTCCCAGCCAGTTCCAGCTTGGTTTCAAGGCCATCATGCCTGAGAGTGAATTGTTATCTGCCTAGCACCTAGAGTTCTCAAAACAACCTTGCGGCATCACATTGGCTGCCAGTGGACTGGTCAGGGAGATTGGGTTTGGGGGATGAAAGAATTGCTTTGTACTTTGTGCAGGCTTTTTCAGATTTCACCTGACTTTACTATAACCATATTCTCTCGTTTTGATTCAACCAAATGGAATCAAGAGTCTTGCTTTTCTGAGGGACCAGCTGGGGCAGCTCCTTACAAAGGTTGTAATTGTGAAAAATGGTCAAAATTACTTCATGTCTGGATTCATAGTAGTATTCTGGACATATTATTTCTAAATAAAATCCATAGAGATTTAATTATTTTATTTACCCATTTACGATTTTATACTGTTTACTTCTTGTTCTATTTACTTATATATTATTTACTATTGTAGGATATTGACCTTATTTTTAAATAGGATCCGTTTACTTTTTGGGCAAAACCCTGTTAGGTTGCAATAGCTAAACCTTTTAACTTCAAAGTGTATGCAGTGTTTTAACCAGCTCCATTGTTATTCTGACAAGAGATTGGATCTTTCTTCCAAGTTGAGTTTAAAATGCTAGAAATAACTGATGACTATACTAATACATAAAAAACCCTTTTATGAGTAAACTAGGGTTCCTTTTAAATCTTTTAGCCCTTATAACAGTAAACAGATAGAACAGGAAATGTTTTTTAAAAAGAAAAACTTAAAAGCATCTTTAAATATAAAAGATCTCTATTTGGGTATAACGTGCTTATTATTATGCTGTTACGTTATGCTACTATTTCAGATTTCAATACTTTCCAAATATAGGATTATTTTGGGAAGGGTGGGTTAGCAATAGCAAGATAATCAACTCAACAACAAATCTTGCATAAGGGAAATGCTGAGTATTAATTAGAGACCTATTTTCTGGAATCCACATTCTCTTAGCACTAGATAATCCTATTTGATTTGTCTTCTGTTTACTCTGTAGTAGAACACTTAAAATCACTTCAGGTTTGCTAATACAAAAACTGTCTCTTTTATCTTTCTTTTGTTTTCTTCCCAAATTTTGTGAGGTTAGCCTAAAAACAGAAATAAGCTGGTCATAATTCTTGGTACTTATTTGTACTTCCAAACTGGATAGCCAACAATATTTTATTTATTTATTTCCAGAAAGTTTGAGAAAGTCTGTAATCTACATCATGTTCCATTTGAATCAAAAAACCTTACTCAACCAACTATAATTTAAATCCCAGGTACATTCCTGTTGTCTTGTTTCAGATTTTCAGACTGCATTCTTACATGTTGCACAACTATCATAAAATATATACCACTGACAGAGCTTTTGCCAGATGACATTTGACACAATGTTTTACAAGAAAACAAGTGATGAGACATAAGAGTAGCAAATCAGTCCTTGGTGGCTAATTCATATTTCTGTTCTTCAGAATAAGAAACAAAGAATAAGTAAAATCATATTTTATAGAGTAACCCTTGTCTTATTGAACAGTTTATGGTGTGATGAATGTCCAATTGTTCCTCGTTTATTACTTTGGATCCAGCTGACTTCTCTGCTCCAGGCATAAACAATATGTTATCACTGAGGAAAATATGACTACATCCAACATGATTTCTGTGACTGGAAATCTAAGTTATAATTCCTCTGAATTTAGGCTCTGTATTTTGGGGGGAGAAATTATAGATTTAGAGAAATTAACTTGGCAGAACAGAGGAGACAATTCTCCCAGCATCAACTCTAGATGGCTCCATTTTCCCAGAAGGCTCAGTGTATGAGAAATCAGTCATGCTGTTCCATCTCCCAAATAATTTAAGAGTCAGAATTTTTTCCACGCTATAAGTGACAATAACTGGACAACACCCATATGAAAGAGTTCCCCCAGAAAGAGAAAAATGCACTTCGTTTAACTCTTTTCTAATGGTTCTTCACATTTTAACTTAGATAGCCAAGGCCTTTGAATATCGACTCTAAAGACTGGCATATGGTATTCTAACATTAGAGAGAATTAAGCTTATAGCCACAAATAAGCCTCCAATCAATGAGAGCATGGCATCATTTCTGCACAAAGAAAATAGATAGAATTACTGTGACAATAGAAAATTCACAGATGGTGTTCTAGAGAAGTAGACAAAAACATGGCAACTAGAGACATTCCTTATGGAAAGAAACCAGGCCAGAATGCTTCTGCTGTCTGCTCTGTGGCCAAAATAAACTCCACTGTAGCATGGGGTAACCCCCAAGAGTGAATCCAAGGATGAAAAAGACATACAGTACTATCAGCATCAAATCTGTGACTGAGGAAAGCAGCATCTGCCATTGCATATTATTCTATAATGATAGGATTTCTTGAACAGCCACTCTCAAATTATAGAAAAATCACTTGGGGGGAGAAAAAAACCTTGAGATGAGCTCATTTTCCACCAGTATTTATTATAGCTTTTGTTATTTTGTGCTCAATTCAGCAAAATTCAGCAGTGACTACACCAAGAGAGAGAGAGAGAGAAATGAGAAATAGGCAAGGGAATAAAAGTAAAAGGATTTAGTTAAAAAGGAGTCTGTCTATAATAACCAGAAACAGAAGGTCAAAAAAGAACTGTCACAGATAAGAAGTGAGAGATCTTTTTGGGGAGAAAAAACCACTTTCTGTCAGTGTTTTTGTGTGTTGTGAGACAGATGGCAGAAAGCACTTAGACATGATTCTTCTTCAGTTTACCACCAAATGCTTTAGGACTGCTCACAAAAGCCAAGTTCTTATTCCAAGTTTCCCAGGAATCATTACTAACTTAAACTATTGTGATTTAGTTCAAAACACACAGTAATGTTCCTTGCTTCCCACCCATCCACCCAATATATATTCAAAAATCAATAAGTCACAATCCTAAGTGCAGGGATGGAATTCAGCCGGTTTGGGCTGGTTCACGTGAACCGGATGTTAATTTTACATCCAGATTGGTGAACTGGTAGTTCTGAAAACCAACTGATCCTGCCCCACCCCGCCCCACCCCTCCCAGGAGTCCACACACACATGGTTCTGGCTCCCAGGTAAGTGCAGGGAGGCCTCCTAGGCCCAAAACGGGGCGTGGGGGGCGGTGCAGCCTCCCGCATCTTGTTTGGGCTCTGAGGCTCCAGGGAGGCTTTCTAGGCACAAAATGGAGTGCAGGGAGTATGGTACAGCCCTCCCGCACCCCATTTTGGCTCCCCTGAGGCTCCAGGGAGGCTTGCTAGGCCCAAATCACCAAAAAATCAAGGTATAATTTTCTGACATCTTTAAGAAAAAAACAAATATTAACATTGAACATCATAAAGAATAGTGTATGGGTCAAAGAGAATACAAAAAAATTTTTTTGATAGCCCACCCCATGCAATACATTAGTTTTCCCAGGTCTATACATTTCAGAATTTGCCTATCCATTATAGCAGTGTTTTACAAAGTATGATCCAACAACCACTGGGCTTTCCCAAGACTCCCTCAGGAGTCCGTTGAAAAATAATTGTGTATTAAAATCCTATCAAGCAATTTTGAGAAGTGGTAGTGGAAGAAAATGTGTCAATTTTTATTTTTAATAAGGTAAATAAATGTAACCCATACAAACAAAATGTTTTGGGGCATCCTCCATCATTTTTAAAAATGGGAAGAGATCCTAAGAAAATAGCTTAATAAATAATATTTGCTGCACTGTAACATTCAGCATCCTCATTTTCAAAAATAAAGTTAAAATCTCCTTCCAGTCAAGCTCAATTCTTACTGATTGCAGGAAAATAACTTTTTTTTCTTTCAAAAATTCAGTTTTTTTGAACCTCTCCACATAAGTGTGACATTTATCTAGGTTCCATGAGTTGCATAGGCCGTCCCCAAAAGATTAGGTCTGCTCTTAGGTTAGAGAGAGCCAGCTCAATGTATCAGTCCATCATTAACTTCTAGCAAGGAAGTCAGACCAACCCTATTCAAAATAGCAGTTTCTTGACAATCCCACCATAGATTACTTTAGTCCTTATTCCACTTCATATATAGGTATAGCATCTCTAATCAGTTCAAAACCAAAACCTGAGAATTAACATTTGCTAAAATTATGAATAAAACATTAAAAAGAGATTTCTGACATATTTTAATTTTTATGTCAAATATCAAATTGGTCTTTCCTAGGATGAAGCATAGTTTAAAATACTGTTACTAAATACATATAATAAATGCTATTATTCAGATCTAAATAATCTGTAGCAGAGGTTCTCAAACTTTATCAATTTTTATTGTTCTATTTTTGCTGGTGTCTATAGGTCAGCTTTGTGAACTATCTCAAGTTAGTAGTTCACATGGTATCAACGTGTCAAATACTGCTGTGTCTTTCCCTCAAAAAGTTAAAAAATATCTTGCAGTAGCTCTACAAGTTTGCTGCAGCACTGGAACAGCAAGCTCAATTTGGAAATTATAGATCTATAGAAAAAAGTAGGGATGATCTTAACAATTGTAGTGGAATACGGAGGAAGAATAGTACAAATAGTCCTTATATAATATTTTTAGAGTTTTTGTAAGCCAGCTTAAGAAAGAAATCCAGCATCTTCAAGAGACATGGCACATTATAAGAAACCAAATAAAGCCTTAAATATCTAGCATAATGTGTTCCCAGTACATGTTGCACCAGCCACAGCTTTCCAATTGTGCAAAATATTATGGCAGCAATAAGAGTCTGTCCATAAAAATGATTAAAATTTAGAAAATGCAATATATTTAGTTGTGATAAGATTTGTGCATTTGCATTTTAAGTGATCCAATATACTGGATTATTCTTTGGGGAAAAGCATAATTTTTAACAGAGCACTACTGTATTTATTATTTTATTATTTGCTAACCTTCATTTCTCTGGGAGTAGTGCAGCTAGAATTAGCTCATAGATAATCATCTTGACTCATTCCCACTTCTGTAGCTGGATTCAGGCAAGTAGAGATTTATGCTTGTTCAAAGGATTGTCCTGGTATTTAAAAAGAAAAAGCTAAATCCCTCTCAGTAACATGTTTTTTCTATTATTTTTTAATTGAGAAAGTGACCAAAGGCCAGTTTCTATCATGAAGAATAAACCTTATTTATCCCACTATCTCAGATGGCCATCTTCCAATATTTTCTCTAGCCTGGAGTTTTTTATCAGATTGATGCCCAAGATTACATGATTATACAAGTTCTATTTCAGATATCTAAACAAAGGTAGAATAGGAGAACATAAAAGGTAACTGTTAGATCGTGGGTAAAAGAAGATGCAGGACACTCCAGCTCGTTCAACTCTTTTTATTTGCTTCTTACAGAACTCAGAACGGCAGCTGCGGCAGCTCCTTTTATAGCAGGGTTGTCTGCAGCTTCAACCAGTGACGGCTGTTTGAATTCCCGCTCCTGCGGCTCAGCCAATCAGAAGTGAGTATGCTAATATCTAACACCCCTCCCCACTGGTCCAGTCTTACCCAATCCTGTCCCGCCTAGTGTACGTAGTCGCGCAAGTAGGTGGGGCTTTTGTGGGTGCGACTGGACCTGCGCAGCTCAGTCATTGGTTGGTCTTTGAGCTGTTCGGGTGGATTTATCATTTCTCCTGTTTTCCGCCTTGGAACCTCCTGGAACCTTCCGGCTGGGGCAGCCATTTTGTTTCCACTAGAGGCCACCCTTTCGCTTCTTTCTTGGACGTCTTCTTGTCTGGCCATGCTGACCCATCGCTGGATTTCAGGTACGTATTCGCACTCTTCATTCAGGGCTATTGTTAGTTGTCGAGGGTGTGCCTCGTTAGTTGTCAGGGCCTTCTCTGTTTGTCTTTTTTGTTGGGAGAGGTCTTCCCCTTTGTCTCTGGTTGCGTTGGATTCTTGTGAAAGGTCTCCCCTTTCCTCTCTGCTTGTGCTTGGTATTTCAGGTTCTCCCTTTATCTGTTGGGCCCTAAGTTGGTCTATGTGTCTTCTCCAACTTCGCCCCTCCATTGTTTCCACCCTGTATTATCGGGGCCCTGTTACCTGGGAAACCCTCGTGGGTATCCATAGGGGTTCCCCTGTGAGGTTCCGGGAGTATACTGGGTCGCCCGTTTGGAATGTCCAGCAGCCGCTGGATGAATTTACAGGGGTGTCTGAGTTATAATGGGGGTGTAGCATATCTAGCTGTGACCTTAGCTTCCTTCCCATCAATAGTTCGGCAGGGCTCTTGTTGGTTGTTGCGCTGAGTGTTATGTGTTGTATGCTTAAAATCTTGTCTATTTTAGCTTGGGTGTCCCCTGGCCCTAATCTGCTGAGGGTTTCCTTCATGGATCGTACCATTCTTTCTGCTTGTCTGTTTGTAGATGGGTGACCTGGTGCTGATAGGGCGTGTCATATCCCGTTTTGTGCTAGAAACACTTCAAATTGGGTGGCCATGAGCTGTGGCCCATTGTTGGACGCTATTATGTCTGGTAGTCCATGTATTGTGAATAATTTTCTAAGGGTTTTAATTACGACCTCGGTAGTGGTGGACTGCATGATGCTGATCTCCAACCATTTGGAGTATGCGTCCATCACTACCAGAAATGTTTGTCCCTTTACCGGCCCGGCAAAATCGATAGGTACTCTCGACCAAGGTCCCTGTGGCATTTCCAATTCGTGTTTGGGTGCAGTGGGGGATGCCGGTCTGGATTCTTGGCAGGCTTTACAGGTTGCCATCCAGGTCCCTATCTCCTTGTCCATCCCTGGCCACCAGACGTAACTTCTTGCCAGGGATTTCATTTTAACTATCCCCAGGTGTTCTGTATGCAACATTTCAAGTATGTCCTCCCGTAATTTCTCAGGAATTATTACCTGATCCCCCCATAGTACACAAGCCTTCAGAATCGATAGTTCGGTTGGTCTGTTCCTGAAAGGTTTGGTATCTTTGGCCACCTCAGTCTCTGGCCATCCCCTCCCCATCCAGTTCAACATTTGCGCCAGGGTTTTGTCCTTTGCGCTTGCTCTATGTCAGCTGCTGTCACTGGCGCTCTTTCGAGAGTCTCTATGAGTAGCATGGATGTGGTTGGGGTTGGGTCCTCGTCCAGGTTGGATAGGGGGCATCAACTCAGTGCGTTGGCATTGTCTATGTCTTTTCCAGGTCTATATATTAAGTCATAATCATATGCGGCTAGGAACTCTGTCCAACGCGTCATCCTAAGTGACAGGATGTTCGGGGTGGCCCTGTTCCCTGCGATGATCCCAAGTAGCAGCTTGTGATCGGTGACCAGGGTAAATCTCCTGCCATATACATATTCATGGAATCGCTTGATTCCGGTTACTGCTGCTAGAGCCTCTTTGTCAATCTGTCTATAATTTCGTTCTGGCTTGGACAATGTCTTTGAATAGAAGGCTATGGGGGCTTCTTTTCCATTTGGCAGTATGTGGCTGATTATTGCGCTGATCCCAAATGGTGATGCATCACCTGTTAGTATCAGGGGTAACATTTCGCTGTATTGGATTAGTATGTGGTCTGATGTAATGATGTTTTTGATGCCTTGGAATGCTGCTGCTTCCTTTTGCCCCCAGGCCCAGGCTGCCTTCTTGTCAAGCAGTTTGTGTAATGGCTCCGCAACTGTCGCCTTCTGCGGTAAAAAATATATTGTAAAAGTTAATTAGTCCCAAGAAGGCTTGTAAGTCTGTTTTGTTTGTTGGCCTGGGGACTTCTTTGACTGCTTTCATTTTGCTTTCCATGGGGTGGATTACTTTGCTATCTATTAGGTAGCCCAGGAATTCTACTTTGTTTGCTGCTAGCTGGCATTTTTCCTTTTTTTTACTTTTAGACCCACTTCCGTTCAGCACTTCCCTTAGGCGCTCTTGCAATTGTCCTTTGTCCTTTGCTGATATAAGGACATCGTCGAAGTAAGGCACCACCCCTTCTAACCCTTGTAGGAGGTGTTCCATGAGGCTCTGGAATAGCCTGGGGGCTACGCTGACCCCGAATTGTAGCCGCTTGCATTTGAATGTCCCTCTGTGTGTTACGATTGTCTGGGCTTCTGCCATATCGGTGTCCACTTGTAATTGTTGGTAGGCTTCTGCGAGGTTGAGCTTTGCAAAGACCTTCCCCCATCCCAGGGAATGTAACAGGTGTTGTGCCACTGGGATGGGGTACGCACTTTGTTGGAGAGCGCGGTTTAGGGTAGCCTTGTAGTCAGCACAGATACACACTGACCCATCTGGCTTTGCCGGGGTGACAATAGGGGTTTCCCATTTTGCATGGTCAGTGGGTTCTAGGATCCCCTGGGCGATGAGCTTATCTAGCTGCTTGTCTATTTTTGGCTTTAATGCAAAGGGGACCCGCCTCGCCTTTAGTCTTATGGGGACTATTGTCAGGTCTAGATTAAAGGAGATGGGTGACCCCGAGTAGTTGCCCAATTTTCCATTGAAGATGTCCTGGAACTCCTCCATCAGGCTGTCTTCCCACTCGGTGATGCTGTGCATTCCGGTGACTTTGATGCCTAGCAGTTTGAACCATTCTAGTCCCAGCAGGCTTGGTCGGTCCCGGTCGACTATTGTTAATAGCAGGTATCCCGAGTAGCCTTTGAAAGCCACTTTGAATTTTCCAATGCCTATCACAGGCATTAGTATTAGTTTCTGTCTTTTCAGTTAGTCTTTGGTTATGCCGGGGCTGAGTGGTTTGTTGGTATCCCAGGATACCATCGACAGGTATGACCCAGAATCCACTTCCATCCAGCATGGCCTACCTTCTATGGTGACTTGGATGTGGACTTTCCTTGCATTGGTCGTACTGGAATGTCACTGTTAGGAATAACATAGGTTACCTAACGTAGTTTGGGTAAAAATAATATATATAGACTATGATTGTGAGTTTAAGTGTGTGTCACTTTAAACTGCAAAGCATGTAATTTTGGGTGCGGTTGTAAAACCGCCATAAGAGGGAGCAAGAGAACTTGATTGATTGCTGGCTTACTGGATTGCTTGCTGACGATGATGGATTGATGGTTTGATAACTGCGTGTTCTCTGCTGTTGCTGAAAGAAGAAAAGAGGTTTGACTTCTTCATATCTCTACTGCGAAGAGATATATTACTGGACTGATATTTGTAAGTTTACTGACCTCTTTTTCGACACTGGTCTTTGCAACTGATTAATCCCCGGACGGACTGATCTAGTGTATGATATATGGACTGTTTGACTATGCTATAAATCTTACTGGAATAAACTATTTAACTAGCACATTGTATCTGTTTTACTGAGTGTAAACTACAACAACGTTTGTCTCACATATCTGCCTGCCTGCCTGACTGCCGTGCAGGTTCTGCTAGGGTGTATATCCCTAACAGTCACTGTTTGGTATGTCTCGCCTCTCTTGATGGCCAACTCATCATTCCTTCAGTTTCATCTGAACTGGTTCTGTTGGCTTCCTGTTTGGGTTGTTCTGTTCCAGGGGGTGTACTTGACCTCTGCCTTCTGGTAATGGGTTGCGCTGCTCGGCATGCCTTTGTGATGTGTCCCCGTCAGTCACATCACTGGCAGATGGCGTCGCAGGGGTGATTTCCTTTGCATCCTGCGCAGCAAAAGTCTTTTATTTTCCTCTCTCAGTTTCTTTGGCTTTGTTCCAAGCGGAGTTGGTTCACTTCTTTGTCATCATCTGTTTCTGACTCAGACTCGATGTCCTTGTGGTGGATGGCAGTGGCTTCTTTCGGTGGTGGCTGTGGTGCCTTGTTCATTTTCCTCATGGAGGCGGCAGATTTCTGGGATGCTTCCATAGCTGATGCTTCTTCGATGGCCTCCTTCAGGGTTATTTTGGGTTTGGTCAGGAAGCAGCTATGCAATGTTAAGTCTCTGAGCCCCAGGACTACACAATCCCTCATCGCTTCGTCCACGTGAGGAATTCACAAGCCCCGGTGATGTCCCGTAGGTTTGCAACGAAATCGCTGATGCTCTCCCCTTCTTTCTGGTCCCTGTGGTAGAACTCGTGTCTCTTTATTGTTGCGTTGAGCGACCGGTCTGTTGTTTAGATCTTCAGGTTGATT